TTTAGTGACTATCATATATCATCTTAGCCTGGGATCTTTTGAATGCATTGAAAATAGTAGAACTCACTCTAAGTAATTTAATACAAGAGAATTGATTGGAAGGATATTTTATGGGGTAAGAGTCACAGAGCCTAGAATCAGACACTGGAAAACAGGAGCTCAGTTTACTCCTGCTGTCCATCATCTCTGCTTTTCTCCCATCATGTTATCTATTCTCTCTGCAGACCCTTTCCCCACTTTGGCATATGTACATCCACCACAACTCTGGCTTCATACAGTCTCGATATTCAATCCCTTGGACACAAATCGGAGTCCCAATGAGCAGAAAAGAGAATCTGGCAGGCTCATTCCATTTAGGTGTTTTCTCCAGCCCGACTTTCTATTGGCAGGTGGTTTCACTGAATTGCAGTCCAGAGGACAATGGAAATAGATTGTCTAAGATGGAGCTATGAACACACCCTAGTAGAAGGAGTAGAGAAAGAAAAAAGAGTAGAGCAAAAAAGGAAAAGATTTGTGGAGGAAAGAAATTCTGTTTGTTATACATAAGCATAGTAACATATACATATGTAGACAATATGGAAATTGTTTTAGAAGGCATTATAATGCTCCAGAATATCAGTATCTCTATTCAAATTTATTTAAAGAATTTCTTGTTCTATATACCATACAATTGTTTTATCATTTGCTCTCTAGACCCTCTGTATTAAGCATGGTTTCTAATCAAATACTGTTTGGTAAAAGTAATGAATGTTACTTACAGAAAATTAGGGGAAAAAGGCTAAGAAAACAAGTCAAAATTCATCTGGAACAACAAATGTTAACGTTTTGATATATAACCTTTGAATTTAGCTCTACACACAAACTCTTTCATATAGTTGACTTATATCCTATATACTATTTTAAAGTGTATTTTGCAAATTTATAATTTTTAAACATTTTCTCTTTACATTTAATTTTCCTTTATGGTATGTTTTATAATGGCTATATGCCATTTCATAAATTTCTGAACAAAAACATTCAGTTATTCTAATTTGTCACTATTAGCAATGTTGGGATATAAATTAGAAAGATATAGATATTTAGATATATATATATATATTCTAAATTTTTGTGCATATGTCTGATTATTTAGATGAAATTTCTGGGAACAGAATTACATGGTGAAAAAATGAGATGAGATAAACTACATGGTTCTTGATACAAATAACAACCCAAAAAGTCTTTGCCAATTCATAGTCTCTGTAGTGTTTAAAATGTTAGTGTTCCAGAGGTCATAAAAGCAAAAACCACCACTACCAACAACAAAACCTGCCAACTGAAAAGGATAAAATATCTCATTGTTTTAATTTATGTTTTTCACAATTACCAAGGTGGAATAATTTTAAATTCTTATAATTGATTAGCCATATTTTAATTCATACTTTTTGTATGAGATCTTTTGAATGTTATTTTTTTCCCAAACGTGTTACAATTACAAATTTATATAACCTAGGTTTACTTTCCTACCATGTTTCTCAAAAGAAAACAGTCTCTGATGTGATATTTAATTTAGATGACAATCGTGGAGTTTTAAAAAGCACTGCTAATGAAATCACAAAAACTGGGTTCAAATGCAGGCTCTGATATGTACAGGCTGTGGGGTTATGATTTACCCTCTCTTAGACTCCATGGAGTCTCTTATGAAATGGAGTCAAGAAACCCCATCTTACGTAACAGGAATCCTTTCTTCTCACTGCCCTGAGAGCATGTATTGTTCAGTGCCATGTCTATTTAATGACTTACGCTTTCTTGTTTACTCCAGAAATTTTGAATGTGTTTAATATTTTTTTAATTTGCCTTGCTCTTTCCTACTCTCAAGAATTTTGAAATGATATTTCCTCTGCCTAAAATAATATTCCCCTCATCTTTTTTATTCCTACACATAAATTTATTATTTATGTCCACACAGAAAATGTTCTTGAACTCTGCCCATGCTAATTTAGGTCTGTCTGGTTATATGCTCCCAAATCTCCTTTATCATAATCACTGAACCTGCTATTTCTCATTTTAATGTCTGTGTTTCTTGCTAAGCAGTCAAGTAAGTCCTCTGAGTCTCTGGCCTATTTCTATCTTTTTTACTATTATACCCTCAGTGCCTAGAGTAGTACTTAGACAATAAATTTGTATAAATTAATAAGCAAATGAATTATTTTCTTCTTCTGAACAATATTTCCTCTTTATTCAAATTCTCTTCATTCTTTTATTGCTTGCTAGGATAGTCTCTGTTTTAGTTGGAGATAACCAATAAAAGGCTATTGTCATTGAGTGGACTTCATTTCTCAAGCATAAGCTAATATTTCACTAAGGCAGCATACAAATCTCTGGTGATGGTTTAAATGAATTTAGATAGCAAAAGCTTATTTTTAATTGTTATTTATGTATTTTTTGGTTATAATCTATAAAGAAAGTGAGCTTAGTTCCTCATTTTGGTACAGACAGTGCACACTGCATGCCTTTCTCCTCTTCTGGATACGTAGGAGGTGTTTATCCCTCACCTCCTACCCTGCCCCACTTTGTAGTTGGTCAGGATTATGTGACTGTTTCTCACCAATGAGCTGAGAGAGATACTATGGGAGTCATTCTCGGGCTAAAGCATGTGATTGCCTTTGTGAGACCTTCTAGAATTCTTTTTTTTTTTTTTTTGGCTACCACTGCAACTGAAAAGTTCTAGGAATGTTGGAGCCTTTGCCAGCCTGAGTCTCTGACTGACTAGAATTCCCTCTTCTCCCATGGTTCCCCATGGGATATTGAGAATAAGCAGGATATAACATTTTCCTGTGGGAATTGTTTATCATTGAAGATGAATCAAGTGTATCCCAACTATATCAATAATAACAAATTATTTACTATATCAATAACAAAATGTCCCTTAAAATATTTATTTAATTTATGTGAGGTGACTTTTAGAAATATATTAAGTAAGTAACATTATAGTTTGGTTTACCATGTGTCCCAGCAATTCCACTTTGGGGCATATATCCCAAAGACTTGAAATCAGGGACTTGACCAGATATTTGTACAATCATGTCCATAGAGGCATTATTTACAATAGTAGTAACATCCAGATGTGTATCGATGGATGGAAGGATAAACAAAATGTGGTATATACACATAGTGGAACAGTATCCAGCCTTTAAAAGGAATGGAATTCTTTTAAAAGAAATGAAATACATACTACGTTATGGATGAACCTTGAAAACATTATGCTAAGTGAAATAAGCCAGACATAAAAGGACAAATCATATAATATGATTCTACTTATATGAGGTACCTAGGATAGTCAAATTACAAGAGACAGAAAGTCCAACAGTAGTTACTAGAGCTTGGAAGGAAGAGATACTTGGAAGTTAGTGTTTAATGGGTATAGAGTTTTAGTTTAGGTAGATAAAAAAAGTCTGGGAGATGGGTAGCCATGATGGTTGCACAACAATGTGAGTGTACTTTAACGCCATTGAATTAAATATTTTAAAAAGGCTAAAATAGGCCAGGCGTGGTGGCTCATGCCCATAATCCTAGCACTCTGGGAGGCAAAGGCGGGAGGACTACTTGAGCTCAGGAGTCGGAAACCAGCCTGAGCAAAAGCAAGACCCCACATCTCCTAAAAATAGAAAAATTAGCCGGGTGTGGTGGCACGTGCTTGTAGTCCCAGCTACTCAGGAGGCTGAGGCAGGAGGATTGCTTGAGCCCAGGAGTCTGAGGTTGCTGTGAGCTAGGCTGATGCCATGGCACTCTAGCCATGGCGACAGAGCGAGACTGTCTCAAAAAATAAATAAATAAAATAAATAAACAAATAAATAAAAAGGCTAAAATAGTATTTTCTATGTTATATAAATTTTACTACAATGAAAAATAGTCCAAGTGATATTCAGATATAGCAAAAATCATTAAGATGATAATTAAAGGTTGAGAAATACTGATAGAAAAGGAGCATGAGTTTGGGGATCAGCCAGACCTTGAACTTGAAATAGATATTGCTACATACTTGCTGAGAACCTTTGGCATTTGTTAACCTTTCTTGGCCTCACTTTCATTATCTATAAAATAGGGTGATTGTAAAGTTTAGCAAGGTAACATGCAAAACACCTAGAAAAAGTGGACACATTGCAGAAACTCAAACAATGGTTCTGGTTGTGGTGTTTCCATTGTTTTTGTTATTATTAAATATGTTTCAAAATGAAATAGGAGACTGAAGTGTTTTCTATGCAGTTTTTTTTCATATAACATAAATTTGGTTAGAAATCAAGTTATGAAAAACAAGATTTTCTTTCCAGTAGAGTTACTGAATATTTTATCATTTTAGAAGTCCAATTTTCTTCACTCATTCTTAGTGTCTTCTGCCTTTATAAGATAAGGGACAGATTCAATTTATACTGTCAAATACTAGCTACCTAGCTATCTAAAAAACTACTCCTTTTAACCTTCTTTTATGTTTACCTTGCTGAAATATAGTTAAATGCTTTCAGTAAAATATAAAACCACCAACAGTCAAAACCTACCAAAAACTTCTGTTTCTCCAGATATGAGCAAATAAACAACTTAGCTTTGAGACAAATAAACTATTTAGCTTAATAAAATTTTACACATTTAATTTTGTAAACAACCTGTAAGTAAGCAAAGTCATTTCAATTTTGTTGAATGAATTTCTGTTGAATGTCTATTATGTGACCATAATATATTTGGGGTTATGGGATAGAAAAAAAGAAAGATATCTCTACAGACCCAGATCTCAAGGATCTATGAATCTCATGGGCTAATTAGTGCGAATTTCCTTTTCTAGACAAAGCCTTCATGTGAAGTTTAAACAGGCATTGCTCTGGCACAGCATTAATTAGAGGCTGAGTGCAGTGACTGTGGCTTGCTGAGACACCTGCCTGTGACACCAAGGAGGCAGCTGGTTTCCTGTCTGGTCTGAAGTTGGTCTCGACCCCACACAACTGATGTGAAATGGATCCCAGGTTGAGATGGAGCAGGAAGCTAAGGAGCTGAGTCAGTGGCAGGCAGAGCACCAGCTGGCACAGGGTAATGAGAAGTCAATGCCCATCTTGGACATGTCTCCATCTTCTGGAAGCATGGAGTGCACACCTCTTAGAACCATGGCCTACCAGGCATTCAACACTTTCCTCAGGGCATAGAGATGTTGAGGACCCTCTTCGTGTCTGTTGAGGCATCCAGGCAGAATATGATGCATGAAGTAGGGCCACAGTTCAGTATATCACTGTGTGAGCTACTAAGCATGTGTGAGCTACTATCCCCAGGTGATTCTCCACTCCTTCCCAGATACTTTACTGTTGGAGAGTATATCCTTCCCAGTAAGAGATGATGATTTTCAAGGGGCCCCAGATGATACCCTTAAGAAAGCCCAATATTACAGAGATGGCCATGACCTAATGGGAATCTAAGGATGTCCCCCAGGGGGCTGCCAGTCTCACCTTCAAATGGAATTTCCATGATGCTCCACATCAGGGCCCCAACAATGCCTTATTCTGGCCCCTCAACAGTACCTTCCAACAGAGCCTCTCTAACACCCAAATGTTATTGGCCTCAACCATGCCTGCCACTGAGGCCCAGGCTGTGCTCCGCTTTCTGGCTCAGATATTACCCCCAGAGATCTCCATGACTTGGGATGTCCCAGCTGAATCCCAATCATTGCTGGTTTTGGAATCTCGGGACTTTCTTGTGAGTCAGCCAGACTCCCAAGAAGGCCCCTCACCACCTGAGCAGCCCATATCTTCTCCACAGAGAGCAGAGCCAAACTCCAGGGCCCAAGAAAGGGCACACAGAGGGGGATCCTTAGTTTCAAGGGCTTACAGCTGCCCGTATGAGAACTGCAGAAAAGCTCATATGAACCACTCTCACCTTGTGAGACACACAGATGAGAGGTCCTGCACATAAGTGTGGGAAGGCTGTACATGGTCTTCCTTCCATTTTGATGATTTTGGACGACACACATGGACACACATAAGATATAAACCACACAGATGCTGAAGCCTTGTTTTTCCTTCTGGAAAATTAGAAAATCAGTATCGCATTGTATTTGACATGGCATATGTATCACATCAGATTCTGGTACTCACTGACCACATGCTCAGAGTTTCTGTCTCTTCCCACCCTTTCTAGACTTGGATGAAATTCCCTAACACAGGGCATGGGATCTGGCATCCCAAGTTGCCACTAGCAACCTAGAAGTTTGGGGGAGTTAATATTCATGGGGTAAAATTAGAATAATGGGAAATGGGAGCTAAGAGAGAGCCAGGCACATAAATCCCCCTTTTTTCTTCCCGTGAATTTCTGCAAGGCACTGTTTCTCCAAAAGAGAACAGCACATGAGAGACCTTCCAAGTAGATGGTGGACATGCCTGCTGTGCCTCATCCAGTCTTGTCTAGTCACAAAAAAGTGTCCAACCTGGAAATATATCACCTTGCATTACCTCCCATTCCTGCCTCACTTTCATTTCTCACTACCAATGCTTTGGGTTTGCATCTCCCAAATAAACTATCAGTACTTAGTTCTTGTTTTTAGACTCTGTTTTCTAAGTGACTTGAGGAAGACATTAGACCAGGGCAGATAAGGATTAGCCCCCTCCTTCTGTTAATACCTACTACAGATACCTGGATGACCAAGTATGACGTAGAGGGTCCTCAACATCTCTATGCCCTGAGGAAAGTGTTGAATGCCTGGTAGGCCATGGTTCTAAGAGGTGTGCACTCCATGCTTCCAGATGATGGAGACATGTCCAAGATGGGCATTGACTTCTCATTACCCTGTGCCAGCTGGTGCTCTGCCTGCCACTGACTCAGCTCCTTAGCTTCCTGCTCCATCTCAACCTGGGATCCATTTCACATCAGTTGTGTGGGGTCGAGACCAACTTCAGACCAGACAGGAAACCAGCTGCCTCCTTGGTGTCACAGGCAGGTGTCTCAGCAAGCCACAGTCACTGCACTCAGCCTCTAATTAATGCTGTGCCAGAGCAATGCCTGTTTAAACTTCACATGAAGGCTTTGTCTAGAAAAGGAAATTCGCACTAATTAGCCCATGAGATTCATAGATCCTTGAGATCTGGGTCTGTAGAGATATCTTTCTTTTTTTCTATCCCATAACCCCAAATATATTATGGTCACATAATAGACATTCAACAGAAATTCATTCAACAAAATTGAAATGACTTTGCTTACTTACAGGTTGTCTACAAAATTAAATGTGTAAAATTTTATTAAGCTAAATAGTTTATTTATCTCAAAGCTAAGTTGTTTATTTGCTCATATCTGGAGAAACAGAAGTTTTTGGTAGGTTTTGACTGTTGGTGGTTTTATATTTTACTGAAAGCATTTAACTATATTTCAGCAAGGTAAACATACCCCTGGTGTCAAGGGGATAATGACCGTCTTGGCAGCTCAGCCAGGTAGTTTAGAACCTAGTTTTTGGACTTGGCAGGCCATTTTACTAGCCAGCAAATTAATAGTGAGAAAAGAACTTGGCTAAGCTATCGAGTGCAGAGCTGGGATTCCAACCATGATCTGTCTGCTCCAGAGGTGGTCACTCACCTAAGAGATGGTGCCTTCTCTAGGTGTTTCCTCAACTAGTCCAGTGCCAAGCACAGCCAGGAAATGGCCACAGAGAGATGAATCAGGTCTGGATTTTATGCTCATGGGACCATTGTGGTCCAGGGGCTGAGAGGTCTCCCTAGGTGCGATAGCCATAGGGAAGAGAAGGCCCCAAAAGGGAAAGTCAGAAAAACTTTCTAGGGGAGGTGATCTCTGAATCCAATAAGAAAGTGTAACATCTAATTATCCCTCAAATGTTGAAATAAACAGAACAGGTGAATGAAGAGGGAAGAGGATTCCAGGCACAGAACACTGGACCTGGCAACTGCTCATAGGACAGTCAGCTTGCAAGTTCCCATTCAATCAAGAAATGTTTTTTGAGCCCACAATACAGGGAGCACCAAGGCTGTGAAGACCTATGGTGAGGAGCACAGAGACAACTAAAGGGTGTTTCAGGAATGACAGACTTGTCAACGAGGTGCCTAAGTCAGACTTGAAAGACTCACAGGGGTTAGCTATACCTCCCATTTCTTGAACATATACATTTTTCCATGCCCTGTGCAAGACACTAAAGATTCAGAGATTCATGAAGGCATCCTTCCTCTGTTGCACAGCGGAAAGGTCACGTACAAAAGTTGTGAACACGCTGCCGAGGAGAGGAGCTGGACTTCTGCAGGCTCAAGTTTATTCTGGGCCTCCGGGGAAACCCCATAGCCTTGGCTGTGCCTGCCTCTGCCCTCCACCCCTACCCTGACCCTGTCCTTCTTGGCCACCTTGGTCTATGCTGTCAGTAGCCCCAGCATACTGGAGGTGGATATGCAGGTGCCTTCTACCCAAGCTCTGAGTTAGGGAAGTGGACATGATTTTAGAAAACAAGGTAGAAGGAGCTCCTTTGTGACCCACTCACTGGCCCCAGGGAGGTCTTGCATACCAAAGGCTCTTTAATTCCCACCAGGTCCCTTTCATAAAGGAGGATATCTGGGGTTCAATGGGCCAGGCCTGGTCTCTGTTCCCTGCCTCACCTGGCTCATGCACGGCGCTGAGGGTGGGGTCAGCAGACCAGACTGCCTGTTGTTGGAATGCAAGATGAGAGGTCCGGTTGGTGAGCTATCACTTTTGTTGAGTAATGGACAGGGAGAGAAACCAGAGTGGGTGAGGGTGCACTGTGCACTATAATGGTGGGCAAAACAAGTGCTTGCCCTTGTGGAGGTCACAGTCTAGTGGAGGAGGGATATAAATAGAAATGTACAAAGTACTGGGAGGACGGATATTAGGGATGCTGCAACAGGAAATGGACATTAAGGAGGCTTTCTCTGAAGCATGGTTTGAGCTCAGAGTCAAGGATAACTAGGAGTTAGGCAGATAAAGAGGTAAGGTGGGTGTTTGGAGCAGAAATAAATCTGTCTTCATCGAGAGATTACCCTAGGTGGGTCGGTGCTAGGCCTTCTCAGTATCACCCAAGGCAGAACAGTGGGTGGATAAGACATGTGGACTCTCAAGTAAGATTAGCAGATTTTGAATCCTGCCTCTGCCATTTCCTGGCTGTGTGGCCTTGGGCAACTTACTTGTCTCTCTGTTGCTTCTGATAGCAAGGAGGGTGGTGAGATGGATTCAAGTTGAAGTGAGGCAAGTTAATCACATTTTAAGGTGTTTTCTTTGGCTACTGTGTGGAGATCGGATTAGAGCAGGGGTTTCAGGGAGAGGAAGGGATTTCAGTGTTTCAGGTGAGTCAAGGTGGCTTGGGCCAGGGTGTGACTATGAAGGTGGGCAGAAGTAGAAAATGATAATTAATTGGATTTGGTTGGTGAGGGAGTGGTCAAGGGTGATGCCCAGGTTTTTGACTTTGTTATTATAAGTAACACAGAGGAATGGATGGACTTCATTAATTTATTTTCTATTTATTATGATATCTATCATACATGTGAAAAATATTTTGTATATATTCAGTTTGAAGAATAACAAAAATAAATACTAATTTACTCCTTATGTCACTTGAGACTTTAATACACTTAAAGCCTTTTGAGTGCCCCATCGTTCTTCCCAGAGGTAACTGCTATTCTGAATTTTGGTTAATCTTGCCTTTGCTAATTTTTCGTTTTTACCATATATGTATCTATTCCTAAATAATATAGTGATTGGTTTTGTATGGTTTTGAACTTTATATTGTTTGAGGTTCATTAAGCTTTTTCAATCTAAATGTTTATAGTCTAAATAAAATTTGGAAAAATTAAAAAAGAAAATATAAGTAGGCAATAAGTGATTGAATTAATAAATTTAAGCCTCATTCAACATTCCCCAAAACTTGTGCTATATAATAAGAATCCTCTTATAATATTAGTACATAGCATGTTACTTCTTGGTTCCTTGCTTCTGTTCGTCCTATGTCACTGTCTGGAGGGCCGGACCCTTCTCTCTTAAATATGCTCACCTACATATATACCATCTCTAAAGTCCTCTCTGAAGTCAACCCACCTACAATATTACCTTTTATATAAAGTTCTAGCAGCATAAAGTTCTAACATTGTTGTATGTTTGTTGTCTACTAATGCCTAGGGAAAAGACATTCCTTTTTATCGAAATGTAAAACATGTGGAAGAAGAGAAATAAATTCCCCTCTACATTTATATTCTTCATAGTTTCAGAAAATTGATTAGCACAAATTAGACAGTCAATAAATATTGGATAATATGACTCAGTTTAGACAATTGGATGCAGGGAGTTTTACTAGGTCTTTGTATTTACAAATGCAGTGACAAAGGACTCTTTCTATTACTAATATTGCAGAAATTCCACAAATATTTAAGTTGTATTGGTAGTCCTTACAGGAAATTAGTACTTCACATTCCTCATATACCTTGGGTATTTTTGCCTTACTGTTCTTGTTATCCCATGGAAAAAGCTTTCCATGAAGGTTAAATACAACCTACTATACAAAGGTAAGCAAAGAAATCGAATTGGTTAAACTAATAATATATTTATAGCACTGAATAACTATATTACAGGATTAAATTAACATTATAATTTAGGGAATGTCCTCATGCAATGAGAAATAAACCATACATTTTTAATGTAGCAGCCTTATCATTGAAAGTTTTCAGATTCCTAAGTATTTAATTTGATCACTTTACTGTAGAATGCTACTGTTAGATAATCTTTTTCCACATTATTATACTCTTTTTAAAACCTCTAATTACTACATAGAGTTTGGTGTAATGAACAAAGTCAATTAATAAAGAAAATTTAGACCTAGTGTCAACATATGGACAAAATAAATGATCATTCTTTCCAAATCCACTCTTCAAATATCTACTTAGTGTAGTGAGGATTCTCAAAAAGGAAAATCCAAGAGG